AGAAGTTGTTGAGGGTTTTTTTTTTCAATTTTATTTAATTTTTATTTTCTTTTAATGGATCAGAAGGGTAAGAAAATGGTAGAACATGGAAAAAGGAGGATGGAGAGAATCTTTATGGTGAGCACTTGACATCTGGCCATGGTGAAAGCTCTTCAGCAGAGTCTCTCAGAAATTAGCAGAGCATTCCCAGGAGGCAGGCCAAGAGCTGAGTAGCCACACAAATGGACTCACTGCTTCACTCTAAGGTTTGCCCCCTGTGTATGGCTGATGCACATTGCCTGGGTACTGCAGGGGAATGTCATCTAGTCTGGCACATATATCTTTGCAGAAATGGTTCCTTATTCATGAGCACTGAGTTTGCTTGGGAAGAAAATGCAATGCAGGAACTTTGTCATTTGTAAATGATGATGAATTGCTGCATGAAGCAGGGGAGGGCAGGCAGGCAGTTATGAGATATCTGTGTTCAGACTGGGAAAGTTTGATTACATGGCTACCAGAAGGCATAGTGGGAAGCCCAATACTGATACAGTGGCTTTGTTAGCCTTTGTCTTTCAAGGCTTGAATTGCCTGTTTGGCATCATCTTGGTCCCTGAGGAAGTAGTTAGGTGTCTGCATTGGTGTCTCCATGTCTTTTTCTAGGGAAAATTATTTGCTAAGGCTCCGTTCAGCACAACTACTGGAGTCAGCTTGGGTCCAGCACTGCATCCAGAGCACTAGGAAATGCAGCACAGGCATCCAGAGTAGCTCTGCATAGAGCCATCTTGTGTTTCTCAGGGTTTGTTAGAGGTGATGATACCAAAAAGAGCTATGCTGCTAAGTTTACCCTCAAAGCAGTAGAAAAGCACTTACCACATAGTGGTGTCTGAGCTTTTAACTCTTGTTCCTGCACTAGCTACCATTAATCTTCAGTCTGGCTAAACTGCCCATAGATAGGCATGAACTGGGTATTTCTAGGGAAGAGATACTCAAATGTTTGTTTCCCTCTCTATTCCCTTACAGCTCTCAATTTATCTCTCCAGTACCCTCATCTCGATACCCTGTGAAGGTAGGAGGGTATGGATACAAAGCCCTGTGTCCTCCTTCTCATGTCCCAACTTTACTTCCATCAGTACACACTGCAGCCCTGGTCCTCCTCCACAACACGCCATGTGGAGCTCAATCAGCTCACTTAGTCCTTCAGAGGGCAGCAGGAGGTGAAAGAAAGGTGGTAGATTATGGGCCAAGAGTAAATAGGTTGTTACAAATGGTGCCCACACTGGCCTGGTAGCCAGCTAGTTAGCATCTGAATTAGCCCACAGGCCATTAGCTGGCAGTTCCTTTTCAAACTTTCTGAAGGATTAATTTACAGTGTCATGACTGAGACTCAGCAAAATCTGTAGAGAAACATATTTTGAAAAAAATGAGAGAAAACCACTCTCTAGTTCTTTCTGCATGACTTTGCATTCCTAATACTACAATATTTGAATAAACCTAAATGTCTTTGATAAGTTAAATGAAAAAAGTTAAAATATGATCTTCAGACAAGGAACTAAATTATCGTCTCTCTGTGAAAAGACACACTTTTGACTTTATGCTTAAGACCCAAGGCCGCACCATTCCAGCTCCTATAGGAATATATGCACTATGTCTCATATGCTCTAATGAGCAGGGTGTGTTTGCTTTGATGAGACTGATTTGTGCATTCAAACTCATATACTGACAATTAAAATAGCAATTATTCTTTTTTGCAAAGAATATGATAGGACTAATCATTTTTTAATGCATCCAGATAAAGATACCTCTTTAATCAGCTTTATTTATCACACTTTACATTTACATTTTATATTTGGCCTCATCTGTATTGTGACATTACACTTTGTATGTCATAATTACTTATGTGCTAAAGGCTCCAGATCTTTGACTATTTCAGGGGCATAGGTCATAATGGGATTCACGTCAAGTTTGCAGGAAATGGGACATTTAGTGCATTAGCAAAAATCAGAAAGTCCTCCATAATGTCAGTGAGTCTTTCGTGACATTCTTCTTTTCTCCCTCCTTCCAGTTTCTTCCCCTTCCTCTTTTAATGTCAGGTTGTATAGATACACAATGAGGCAATGGGTGACTTCTTGAGGTCACTGGCCTGACATCTGCACATTTATTTGGTAACAAAGTTCTAGTCAGAGACTTCCAACTTTTTAATTTAATTTCACCAATACGGTTGGGAAAGATCAGATAAAACAAACAAGCAAGCAAATAAAAGTCTTTTGATGATGGTTTTAGGAGTCTGTTAACATACAGCTGACATCTTCAGCTTAGTATAAAAAGATGATTTCTCCAGCATTGTGTGTCATGAAATTCTCTGTATTTACTGACATGTTCTTTCTTATTACCTAGTGGAGTATTAACAGGAGGGAGGGGGCAGTTAACCTTTGCATCTGTACTTTGACAACTAGCCAATACATTAATAGAGATGATGAAAGCTGTGGAAAATTGCTTATTTCCTACCATGTTCCAGAGAGGGGATTAAGAGAGTGGAAACTCTCCAGAGACAGCAAAGCTGAGGCTGAAAAAAGCTGTGAGAGGAAAGTTTAGAAAAGACATGTGGGAAGATTTGGGTAGAAGAAAGACAGAGCTGTGTATACTTCTGTAGACAAGGGATAGTAGTCTTAGTCTAATCTGACTTGAGCAGTTTTGTCCTGGTCAGCGAAGGTGACCATCATAAAGAAGATCTCAATTCAGGAGGAAAACAAAAGATGCAGGTGGATCCTAGAAAATTTTACAATAGAGAGAGAACACAGCTCAAACAGTTTTTTTAGAGTAGTCAAGAAAACAAGCCTGTATCATGTACTAAGGATTAATTATTTTTCACCTTTGTTTCAGTATTTCCTATATTTTTAAGCAAATAGTAATAGTGCCATGCAGGCTGGTAAATAATTTTATTTGTGGCAGTTTTCTCACAGCTGTCATGTACTCCTGACATAATAAATCCTGTGCAGTCATGAGAGACTCTTTCCCTTCATTCCTTAATGTGCTTGTCTTCAAAAGGTGCTCCAGCACTGGTCATCTTGATCGGTCATCTTTACACCAGGACACTGGGGATGCCACTGTTTGGGACAGTGCTAGAAGGGGCCTGGACAGGGTGTCCCCTTGTCTGAGTCCTTAATTTGGGTTCCTGCCTGCCTTTGTCTCCCATTGCTCCTCTGGGCTTGTGTAGACAGGCCTTTAATAAGCTGATGGCTACTGTGGTGGGCCTGGGAGTATCTGGGCAGGGTACTATTTGGGCTCTCCTGTCATTGTTTCTCAGTGCTCCTTTGTGAATTTGCAAACAATCTTTTATCACATAACCTAAGGCATCCCACCACCCTGGTCTCTGTTTGGAGGCTTTGACTCCCCTCTGATATGGCACATGCTAAATTATACAAAGGGAAAAAGGCCATATATGGCATTTCTATTGTAGATCCAATTCTAGTTTAAGTCATACTTTTCATGGGCTCATTCATAGAATCCCAGGGAATGTCCCTCCCTCTGAGTTGTTGTGGTTTGTTTGTTTGTTTGTTTGTTTGTTTGTTTGTTTGTTTGTTTGTTTTCAGATAGATAATCAGGGGGATTTTAGGGTACCTTCATAAATGGATCGATATTAATTGATCCATCTTAAATCTTATTAGGTCATTTTGGAGGCCTAATTTATGAGAGCTTTCTCTAGAGTTTTGTTGAGATAAATGCAGATCATAGGGATAGTTACAGAAAACTACCTCTTCTCATTTACCACCTGAGAGCACGAGTTTTGAGGGTATTGCTTTGTTGTTTCATTTAACAGGGAATGGATCTGCATAAACACATCAATCCACTAGGCAACTGTCAGCTGGCAGTGTCCTGTAGCTATCACAGAACAGATCACTTGCCTCTTTCTGCAAAGCTCCACAATCAGAAAAGACCAAGTCTGATAAGTATGGGGAGCCAGAAACCTTTAGAGGCGCTGTGGTGTTAGAGGCACTATGGTGGCTAGAATAACCAATACCATTAATCTGGAGATTACCAAATCCTTTAATCTGTTTTTAATCTCCATGTTTTTAAAGCTGCTTTTTAGAAACTTGAAATCAACTAATGTTTTCTTTCAGTCTCCAATTGCAGTATTTGGCAGGATCATGAGGGTCTTCTTGTGTAACACATACGGTGCAAGGTACATTCCTCCCATCTCCTGGCTCAGGTGTCATGGCAGATGGCTGTATCAAAGGCTCACATTACTAAATCTTGATCATGCTTTTTTTTTTTTTTTTCCCCAAGAAATCTAACTGTCCTCAGAATCCCTCCCAACTTATGTCTTCTAATTGGTTTTTCTCCACTGGTTTGTTTGTTTGTTTGTTTGTTTTCTCAGGATAAAACATGCCTCCAAATAATAATTGGCCTGACTGCCCTACCTGGTAAAAATACACTAGAAATCCTCTGGATTTTATCTATCAAAGTTTCTTTGAACTATTCTGTGATGAGTGAAGTGTAGGAGTGAAATAAGCTGTCCATCTATCGTGGAATCCTATTCCAACATTATGCTATTGCATGAAATACATTAATAATTAACACACCATTTCCCCCCTTTTTCCTTCCTTAGGGAATGTGTACTGTCCCAACTGCCATGAGGAATGTGATCGTGCTATTTAAACACCAGGCTGCAATTCACGTTGTTCTATTTTGATATATTTTGTTTAGAAACTCTGTGGTGTAATGAGATTTTTTGGCACGATATTTTGTAGTTAAACCCTTTAACCTAGAATGCAATTGCATTTTCTTGTTTTTCTTGTTTGCTTATGTTCAAGTTCTGTTGATTTCAAAAGATTCAGATGACTTAAGGTCTTTGACTGGAGTTGCGTTATTTCTTTACAGTTTTGGAAAGAGTAGTAAATTATTGCTCACAGAGTCCAAAAAAAAGCCAAACCCATCCCCCCATTAAAAGGTAATCTTTAGCTCTCTTTTTCTGCATAGCATTTCACACTGTGACGGCGCCTGTGTGTGTGAGAGAGAGAAGAATGGAGAAGCCCAGGAAAAAGTTTACTGATATCATAGATAAGGCAATAGCTGCTGCTAACAAAATGGATCGTGACGAACTACTCTTTTCTTACAAGGGGATTCTCTACCCTGTTACTTTTTGCAGTCCTGATGTATTCAGAGCTATGGAGACCCTTGAAGTCAGAAGTGATGATATCATTTTGGCAGGATATCCTAAAACTGGTGAATATAGTTTGCTTTCTTCATAAATAAAAGTTCTGTAATGGCAAATAAATAGGTTTGTACTTACTATATATAATAATATATATTATATGATATATAATTTTATTTATTATATTAAGTAATAGAATTTTCACAAAATTTTGTAGAACTAATTTTGTTCTCAAAAAGCATAACAAAGTTAATTATGAAGTTTTTATATAGGGAATTGTTCACATGGCTGAGAAAAAGATATCTGATTTTCTTTTCATAGCATGTAAAGGTTTTTGTTATCTTTACTTTTTATAGTTATGAAGTTAAATGATCACACCAGAGATAACTAGATCTCTAGATATTGCAGGATCTGCTCTCACATTTATATTTGTAAAGTTAATAGCTTTATATTTTTACACAGAATGGAGCTTTTGGTACCTTCACATGCCATGCTGCATATTCTTTAGTTTATTTCATATAGATGTCAAGAATAACTGAAACCATAACTATCAAAAAATTATTTTTGTAACACTTGAAATGATCACACTGCCTATTGGGAAATCAAGAGGAGATCTTTTCTCGAGTTGTGGGTTTATCCTATATCTTTGCTCCTTCTGCCTGAAAGCACGTTATACTGGCCCATATCAGAGCTACAGGTTTGGATTAGATGCATCTCTTAATCATTTTAATGTAGCTGTTTCTCTTCTCCAGCAATTGGATTCACACTCTCTTATAGTAGATAGTCACAGCTGACAGGATTGTGAGGTTTTTGCTTTTTTGTCATGTTTTCTTTTTGAAGAAATGCTATGCACCGGAACACAGTTATTAAGACTGTAGTGACAAAGCTGTAGGAACCCAGTGTCCAGAAGTCAGGAAATAGTAAACTAAAGTTGAGAGTTCTCTACAGGCTCTTTTTAAATTTTTTGAATAAAAATGCAATAAATGTGTATAGGAAATGTCACTTCAGAGAATTTTTACCTATTGGTAAAGAAAATGAGCACATACAGCACAATTTTCAGATCTAGTTCTGCTCCTGTGTTGGAAGTTCTTGACCCATCTTTCCTCCCAAGATAATCCTGTGCAGCCCATCAGAAAAACATATAAAATATACTAGGTTTTGAGGTACAGGTTTACCACCCCAATCCCCCTTATATTTGTCACAATAAAAATTTATTACATTAATGCATGTTTTCCTCTTTGAATCTTAGTAGTTCTTCTTCTAATTTACAATATACAAGTTATTTCACCATGTACTGAGCACTCTGAGTTGGAGAAATTTATCCTTATAAAGAGCAAAGGTAGGACCCTGAGAAGTGATTGTTCAGGTAGTCAGCTGTGATTGTACCACAGGAAAGCAGACCAGGCAACTCATCTGGTAGTACTACCTACCTCTTGGCTTTCCCGGTAAATCCATTTCTGTTTATTCTAAAGGTTTTACAGTTCTGTATTTTTACCCTTTTAGGCACAAACTGGCTAGGTCAAATCTTAAATGATCTGGTAGCCATATTTGAAAAGAAAATACAGAATAAAGAAAGCAGCATGAATGATGAAGAACAAGAATTCCCCTACCTTGAAATTGGAGATGCTGGAAAATATGAGGTGGGCACAGAATACGTATGAACGGTGTCAAAATTTTGTGCTTCAAATACTGAATATATGGTGTATGGAATCGTCCACTATTTGATAAAAACTCTCCCACTTCTCTATATGTGACGTGTGGTCAGGATGAAGCTCACATGTGTTGCCAAATGCTGAGGGATAAATGGACACTTCAGAGGGCTAGAGAGGAGCGCATACTCAGTAGATATGCAAGAACTGCAGAAATTCAGCATAGCATGTTTTGTATTTAAGAAGAGTTAATGAAATGTCAAATACTGAAATACTGGCTTTTGTCTCTTTTTCACTAGCTATTCCTCCTCTCACATTCTGTCTCTCCTTGAGATCCTTCAGCTTTCACATACCCCCAGTTAAATTCTGCATCTTACCTTTAGATTTGATCCCTTGTCTAACAGAACATGTTAAATTCATTATCACTGAGGAGAAGTATCAATGGGTAATCTTCCAATCACATAATCTCAGGGTCTTTTGATGATTAGAGTTACTCAGAAATTTCCATTAAGATCTCAGGATAACACTCTCAAAAAATAAGTATTTTTATCAGCCAGTAACTGTTGATGAGTTTAGCGAGGCAATATTTTATCATAGACTAATGAAAAGAATGCTTGTACTAACTGAACTGTCCACTTTCCTCCTTTTGATTCTTAAAGAGAATGAACAAATTACCTTCTCGAAGAATTCTATTTACTCATCTCCTTCCTGAAAATCTTCCCAGGTCTATCTTCAAAAATAAAGCCAAGGTGAGTGCTGATTTTAAGGTCTTGGAAGCAAACACTTCAACAGATTTTTTATTTAAGCCAGGTTAGTTATTTTCTGCCAATTTTCAGAATAATTTTCTGCTTAAGTGTTTAGCCTGGTCATTTCTACATGCCTGTTTAAGTACTGACATTCAATTAACTTAATCTCAGTTCATCCTTATTGACACATTTGTGTCAGTCTCCACAAGTGAGATGGGGGGATGGAACAAATCAAAATGTATTTTGACATAATTTCCTATGAGAGGCGTTTTATGGAGTTATCACAGGTGAGGGCTTCAGTGTGTCAAGTTTCAGAGAGAATTTTTGTGAATTTTCCCCACTACTTAAATGCTGAATGATGGTTGTATTGAGCAAAACATACTGCATAATTAATTTGACTAATCTGTAAAAGATATTTTAATAATTATAGGCAATCATCTTCACAATGTACTGAAACAAAGTGAAATACTTCACCTTCTGAATTAGAATGAAATTGCTGCTTCTGCAAGTAGTATACAAGATATTGGAAATTTCCTAAACTGTAAAGTAGATAAAAAAATTGATTATTTTCTTCATACTATAGTCTGCTGCTATGTTTTTCTCTACAAATAAAATATTTTAAATTTTTCTAGATATTGTTGCTGATTCGCAATCCAAAGGATGTAGCTACATCTTTTTACTATTTTTCCAATGGCATGTCTCCTCTTCCTTCCTATGAGACCTGGGATGATTTCTTCATAGCTTTCATGACAAAGAAAAGTACAGTATACTCTCCTGCCTGCATCAATTATTCAATGCTTTGACTTTGTCTAAAAACCTTGCACTTTTAAAATCAGCTTCACTAGGATTTTTTTGGTTTACTGTACAAAAACTGAGATTAAATACAGAAAGTTAGAAAGTCAAACTAAAGTTTACAGTACTTGTCTTACCGCCTGAGGATAAATCCTTATCAAAACTGCACTTCCACAAAATGCTTTAACTTTCACAAACTGATATTTTTGCTGGAAGAAGCAGTTCCTCCTTATCTCTATCCTGGATCCCCTTTCACCCCTCCTCACCAGTGTCCATCATCGTGTGCCCATGCAGACATCTGAACTCTTACATGCCAAATTGGACCAGAGGAATAATTTGGACTAAGTCTAGTGCATTAAAAAAAGAAAGAAAATAATCCCACTAGTTTATAATAACATAAATTCTTCAGTTTGGCATATCACATGGCACATAAAGAGAGTTTTAAACTGTATTAAGGGGGTCTGCAGGATGGTTTGAGTACAGATAGCTCTTTGGTGGACTCACATCTGTCTTGAAATACTAGCTAGTTTTTCCATGCTGACTTACAAATTGTATTATATGCCTGAGACATATAATAAAACCTTGTAATTCCCACAGAAGGGTGTAAACTCTGTCATAAACATGATTAATAATACCCATGGCTAAGGTGTCAATTTAAGGAGTAAAAATTGGTTTATTATATAAAGAGCTTGTCTAATCTTCATTTATGCTTCATCTTAGGATTCTTTTGTTTTATTTAGTGCCCTGGGGATGCTACTTTGAATACCTTTCCAAATGGAACAAATATGCTGATGATGAAAATGTCATGACAATAACTTATGAAGAGCTAAAAGAGGTGAGGTTACCAATAGTTACAAATTTTTTCTACTTCAAAGAGCATTTGTTCCTAAACCAATTAACCATTTTATTCATGTAGTGTATTCAAACTGTCTGATATTCTATGAGCTAGATTCGTGTTTTAAGGGAAGGAAAGGTGAAATTCCAACTTAAAAGACTTTTAAAAATTTTGTTTGTGAAAATAATTCTTGTTTTCTCTTTAACTCTGATATAAGCCCAAATAACTAAATCAAAATCGCCAGTATTGTTTTGGTGGGAGCTTTTATCTATTCAAGCAGCGTAGATTTTGATCAACTCTAAATCATATACAATCTTCTGTGATCTATAGGAAGACAGATCATATCTCCTGTGAAATAATTATGGAGAAGAGAAACACTATGTACCACTCTCATCCTACGGAACTCTGTGGATGTTCTATATATGTAGCCAGCAGAGAGACGTAGGGAAGTTCAAACACCTTGGAAAGTGGTGTAATTTGTTTACTGTCATGTGGTATGTTACATTCCTCTTTTCAGAATCCAGTCCTGGGTGTGAAAAACATAGCCGCTTTCTTTGGTATTTCCCTGACTGAGAAAGAGCTTCAGGATGTGGTAGAGAGGAGCAGCTTCCAGTCAATGAAGAAGAACTCGCAGAAGACCCATGGCACATTTGGCAATGTTTTCTTTCGCAAAGGTAGGAAGCTCCAAGAGGTCCAGAGGTAGAAATGTCACACTCAAGAACCTGAGCCACCCATCCTTTCCTTCTTTTTTGTACACAGATTAGCCTTATGGATTAGTATCACGCAGGTTATCACTGTTATACTTGAGAAGACTAGTCAAGGAGCACTGGTGAGGAAGATACCCAGCAATGCTCTATCAGCAGGCTGCAGCCAGCACAGGAGAAGCAACTGCACAGAGGAAATTTTAGAGGCCCATAGGTGACTGGCAGGAAGGAGGAGCTGTCATGTGTCTGAACTCCTTTCCATCTCTGTGCCAAAATCACTGATTCTTCAACAATTAGGGGCTTACCTGAGCAGGCAAATCTGGGCCAAACTCAGCCTGAGTGGCATGATCACACTTTTTAGGAGAGTGTAAGATCTCCTGAAAGGACCACTGCCAAGCCTTTGTTCACACTCACAGGTTAGAAGTAAACCAATCATGTACATAGAGAAGAGGAAACAAAGGGAACTACTTTTGCAGTGTAGTGTAGGGGACACAGACATGAGAGTGCCAACTCGGCAGTCAGAATCTATTTCTTCATTTTACAATAAAGAAGTCACTGGATAAAATCTCAAGCTGCCAAGGTAACAGAAATCCAGCTTTCCCTCCTGCCAGATGATTTTTATTTAAGTCTTCATGGTCTTCCACCATGTCAGTCATTACTGACTGGAGTAGGGAGTTGCAGAGAAACAGGACTTCAGGCTGGTTTTCTGGACACAGTCACCTGAAGAGGAGGATGTTCTTTTGCATTATAGCAGTTTCACAGATCTGTAGTTCCACTGACTTCACAAAATTATATTGGTGCAAAAATGAGTGGAGTTTTGTCTTGAAAAATGTATCAGCTCCATTTTGTGTACAATGGAACCAGAATGACAGATGTATAAAATAAGAACCAATAAAATGTATTGATTTTCAAGAGTTTCTTTGCTTCTTTGAAGGTGGTGTAAGTGACTGGAAGAATCTTTTCACTGAAGATCAAAATGAGAAAATGGACAAAGCATTTGAAGAACGCGTAGGAGGAACTAAACTGGGAATAAAGTTAAAGTATGAAGTGTACTGTAAAGCCTGAAGAATAATGAAATGTGGTTAGAGCAAGAACTTTTCAATGCACTCACACATCATCTGAATGCTACATACTACAAAACTAGATCAAATGATCCAAGCACCTTAGAATTACTGTAATAATCACATTGCAGCAACCTTTACAGTGACAGGGATGAAGAGCTGGTTTTTGTTTTAAGGTGAGATCTTTGGCTTGCTTTGGCTAAACTCATTGGCTGAATAAGATGTCAACTAACCATATTCATATTCAGATAAACTTAACAGCCTTGTTTCAGTAGCTGTCACCTGGAAGGAAATGCCCCTTTTCTCTATGTAGCCAAATTTAGACTTTCTAGGCTATTTATAACTATTTAATATGTAGATTTTTTCTTTTTTCCAGAACTATTTCAAATCAGGTGACATTTTCACAGAAAAGATCACTAGCAAAAATATGGATCTGACACAACCTTAATTAATGACAAAAGATATCTCCCCCATGACCAGAAGAAACTGGATCAAAGCTAGAGGGAAGAGAATGAAGGGGAATGGGGATCAGCATTCTTAGGGTTTTTAATCTCTCTGAATGCAGAACTTCAAAATGAATTTCAGATTATGGGCTGGTATTAACAGGCTAGATCCACTCAAATCCACGCAGAGGCACTGCTTTTATAGAATCATAGAACAGCCCTCGAAAGGTCATCTGGCCTAATCTGTCATGGGAAAGGGGGCCTAGATGAGATTATTGCATGTTGAAAACCCCAGTGATGAGGACTCTACTGCATCTTTGGGGAGGTTGTTCCAGAGAATGCTTGTTCTCACTGTAAAGAATTTATTTCTTATATTGAGTTGAAACCTCTCCCACTGCAATTTGTACCCATTGGCCATTGTTTTCTCCATGTGGCTCCTTGTGAATAGAGAGCCTCTATTTTCTTTGTAGCTGCCTCTTTTAAGTGTTGGGTGATGAGGTCCTCCCTGAGCCTTCTCATCTTTGTGGCCCTCCTTTGGACTCCCTCCAGTCTGTCTGTGTCTTTCCTGAATTTTGATGACCAGAACTGGACATATTACTCAAGGTGTGACCTGCGAAGTGCTGAGTTATAGAATCATAGAATTGTTTATATTGGAAAAGCCTGTTCCGATGCTTGACAATCCAAGGTGTGGCCTCACCAGTGCCAAGTACAGGGGGACAATCACTTCCCTCGTCCTTCTGGCCACACTATTTCTGATATAAGTCAGGATGCTACTGGCCTTCTTGGCCACCTGGGCATACTGCTGGCTCACATTCAGGTGGCTGTTAATCAACACTCTCAGGTCGTTTTCCACTGGGCAGCTTTCCAGCCACTCTTCCCCAAGCCTGTAGCATTGCATGGGGTTGTTTTGACCCACATGCAGGACCTGACACTTAGCCTTATTGAAACTCCTACTGTTGGCCTCAGCCCATGGCTCTAGCCTGTCCAGATCACTCTGTAGAGCCTTCCTACCCTCAAGCAGATCAACACTCCCTCCCAGCTTGGTGTCATCTGCAAATTTACTGAGGGTACACTCAATTTCCTTGTCCAGAGTATTGATAGATAATTGATTATTGATAATCGATAATTGATTATTAAACAGAACTGGTCCCAATACTGAGTCCTGGGGAACAGCACTTGTGGTTGGTTGCCAACTGGATTTAACTCCATTCACAAACACTCTTTGGGCTTGGCCATCCAGCCAGTTTTTTCCCCATCAAAGAGTACACGCATCCAAGCCATGAGCAGCCAGTTTCTCCAGGAGAATGTGGTGGGAAATGGTGTCAAAGGCTTTACTAAAGCCTAGGTAGACGATCTGTAGCCTTTCCCTCATCCACTAAGTGGGTCATCTTGTCATAGAAGGAGATCAGGTTAGTTAAGCAGGATCTGCCTTTCATAAATGCATACTGATTGGGCCTGATCACCTGCTTGTCCTGTACCTGCTCTGTGATGGGAGTCAAGATGATCTGCTCCATAACCTTCCCCAGCACCGAGTTCAGACTGACAATCCTGTAGTTCCCTGGATCCTCCTTCTTTCTCTTCTTGTAGATGGGCATCACATTTGCTAACCTCCAGTCAGCTGGGACCTCCCCAGTTAATTGTGACTGCTGATAAATGATTGAAAGTGGCTTGGTGAGAACTTCCACCAGCTTCCTCTGTATCCCTGGGTGGATCCCATCCAGCCCCATAGACTTGTGTGTTGTCTAAGTGGTGTAGAAGGTCGTGAGCCATTTCCCCTTAGATTATGGGGTCTTAATTCTGCTCCCTGTCCCTGTCTTCCAGCTCAACGGGCTGGATACCTGGAAAACAACTGGTTTTACTATTAAAGACTGAGCCAAAGAAAGCATTAAGTACCTCAGCCTTTTTTTCATCCTGTGTCATTACGTTTCCCCCTGCATCCAGTAAAGGATGGAGATTTCCCTTAGCTCTCCTTTTGTTGCTAATGTATTTATTGAAACATTTTAAATTGTCTTTTATGGCAGAAGCCAGTTTAAGTTCTAGTTGGGCTTTGACCCTTCTAGTTTTTTCTCCCTGCATAACCTCACGACATCCTTGTAGTCCTCCTGAATTGTCTGCCCCTTCTTCTAAAGGTCATAAACTTCTTTTTTTCCTGATTTCTGGTCAAAGCTCTCTGTTCAGTCAGGCTGGTCTCCTCCCCTGCCAGCTTGTCTTTTAGCACATGGGGATGGCCTGCTCCTGTGCCTTTATTTATTTCTTGCAGAACATCCAGTCTTCCTGGACTCCTTTGCCCTTCAGGACTTCCTCCCAAGGGATTCTGTCAACCAGGCTCCTAAACAGGCTGAAGTCTGCTCTCTGGAAGTCCAAGGTAGCAGTTCTGCTGACCCTGCTCCTTCTTCAAGAATCAAAGACTATCATTATGTATAACCATGAATAATTCTCTCTTTGTATCACAAAAATCCCAAATAATTTTCTTTTTAATATCATATATATTTGTACTTGCTCCACTGAAGACCACATTTCTACCTGTATAAAACTTAGTAAAAAGCAAAATCATGAAGGTAACATCTTTTTCTTGTGTTTGAAGAGAGTTCTTAATCTATACACCTACATGCCACTTCTAAGAACTGCTTTTGTGTTTTCCATGTTCCAGATATAAAATAGGAAAAGAAAATGTAGTGAATACAGAAGATAATGTTTCCTACCACTAATGCCAGTGGAATGCTCTTACCACTAAACTACGTTAGCATTCCCTTTGTTCATTCTTGAGTTACATATATGCCTACAGTTAAGCTTTAACTTCAATTAATACATAAACACTGAAATAGGTTAACTTCAGTAACTGGAAATTCTCTGAAACTGAAGATGCCAAAATTCACTGAAACTGGCTCTATTGAGAAAATGGGATTGTCAGTGGTGATGGTGTCAGACATTACTATACTCAGCTGTTTTGTACTGGCATTGGTATTTGGCATTGTGGACACATTATTTCAGACCTGTCCAGGGTCCAACTCCACTTCAGACACCTGTTCCAGAAAAACAGCAAAATAAGGTTCTTTAAGTTTAATTGAATTAAAAATAGGAAAATAACACACACATTTTATAGATCTGTCACTTAAGAAGATAAGTAAAAATAAAAAATACGCTAGCAAAGAATAAAGTATTCAATGACTTTTTGCTTTATTCTTCTAAATTCTGCCTGGAGATGTAGAAAAGAAGTTTTGCAAAGAAATAGGAATGCTACTGAAAATATTTAGAAAAAATTAATGGATTCAAAAGCAGAGCATCTGAAAGTCCCAACACAAGCCATCTTTGAACAACTAGAAATTGTCTATAAGAACCCAGAAAAGTACCAGATGCCTGGAGGAGGACACACATAACAGCCATTTAAAAAAATTTGGGAAAGGAGAATCAAAATAGAGCAGTCATCTTAACTTGATACCTGGAAATTTACTAGCAAAAATGATCAAGCAACAAATGAGGAAATATTTTGAAGATAAAAAGGTGGTAAGTATAAACCATGTCAAAGCTATTTGTGCTCCTTCTTGAAGAGATAACTTATCTTTTGAATAAGTCATAGACAGAATATACAATAGATGGCAGCATCAGAGAGTTTCTGAAATTATATGACAAAAGACAAATCTAGGTCAACAAATTTATGGTTTCATATGTGGAGATGACAACTTACAAATGTGGTTATAGAAATGAAATTAAAGTACTGACAGTAGATTTGTGTTCCTAGAAATTCATACAACATGACAAAAGGCATCCAGAAGCAGGGTGAGCAGCAGAAATATTTTTAGGAATATCTACTTGTTTACATGGCTGTTGTGAACTTGGTTGCAATAGTGTGTTCATGGCCAAACTGCATATACTGGATGACAGCAAAATTGGCAGGACAGTGAAAGCAATATCCTTTAGTGGTGAGTCCTGGTCATATTCAATATTGTTCTTAACACTGGTGGATAGACTAATATCTATATCATATAACATTGACTTTTAAGTCTGGGGATAAGAGAAGAGGACTGAAAGTACTGCAGAAAATGGGGAAACAATTCAAATTGAGAAGAAGGTTGGCAAGAAGTTCAGTAGAGGTGTGTAAAATGCTACACTTAAAAAAGAGAAACCAAAGACACAAGTACTTAATGAGGGCAAACCAGTCAAGCAGCAGTTGGTATGAAAACACCCAAGTAATCACACTCAGCAAGGGCTAACATGGTGAAAGTGCTGGGAAAAAAAAAGTCAGATCTTATTCAGGTGCACAGTAACAGGAGGATCATACCTAAGACACAGTAATAATTATTACAACCTGTGGTTGCAGGTCAGTCTAAATGGAGAATGCTGCTTAAGGAGTCTGCAGACAAATTTAAGGGAGAATCTGGCAGGGAGGAGACAAGCATGCTTGATACTTTAGCAGTACAGAGAGAGGACTAGAAAGTCACATTAAGTCCCTTCTAGATCCGTACTTGAACACATCTTGGAATATGGCAGAGCGGCTTTCCATGTTCTTACTGAACTGTCTGTGCTAATTCTTCTTGCATTAATTAGACAGCAAACACTCCGG